CATAGTTTTTTTCCGACTTGTTTCTGTAGGTACGATACACATAAACCTTGAGCTTCGTTCTTTCAAAATCTTTGCATACAAAATGACGTGACTTTATTTTTAGTTCTCCCCGACATAGCTCCGCTTCGTTTACTTAGTTTTCTATTTACACTGGTTTAGCTGTAACATTGAATCTGTTTGCAGTCCGGAGAGAAATAATGCAATTTGCGAATCTGAATCCTGCAAGCGATTGTCAGTGCACTCCAATTTTGAGGAACTCCAGGATTTTGTTGGTGCAAAACGTGACTTGGGTTCATTGTTTCTTGAAAAATAGAAACCTACCTCTAGGTACTTTTAGCGCACTAGTTGAGGCGAACACATACTCACACTAACGTAATATTTGAACACAGTGTACCTACCATGAGTTTACGTTAGGTGTGCTCGCTAGCGAGAACGTCAAAAATCTCTATGAAGATTTTGTTTCTTGAAAGTAGCCGCTAGGGGCGCTGCACAATATGTCATTCAATTAATATCATTTTTTTACGCAGTCGCTAGCGAGCACACCTAACGTAAACTCATGGTAGGCACACTGAACACACATACAAAATACGCAAGACGTCCAACGCGATAAGCATTTATCAGACACAAAATAATTAATTTTATCTTTGCTCGTGTTGATCGCCTCAAGTCTCAAGCCCTATACGTAAAAATATCATTGTCTAATAAATGATTCTAAATAAGGTTTTCATAGGGTCAAAATCATCTCTGTTTCTTAAACCTTTAGCTTTCTTCTTAAAATGGGTTATCTGAGTTTAAGCACAGTTTAAGTTTTAGAAGCCGAGTACGTAGTCTGCTAATTAGAGTCAATAAGGTCTACTCTTTTTTGCGGCACTTATTTTTTATGCTAAGCATCAAAGATAGAACAAAGATAAGCTCCTTGCAAGACAATACAAAACCGATACATTTTCTGAGCCTTGACCGGTTCTATTTCTAGAAAGATCGATTGCATTTGCACGTTATTGGATCACGGCGTTTGGAATGCGATTTTCATACAATTTCTCGTGGACTTGTCTAAGGACGAACTCGGAGATAAAACGGGGAACAACATAATATCTTCAATACACTTTATTTTATACTCAAATATACAAAGATAAATGTCATGCTCACCAAGCGAATAAGCACTTTAAACTTACGATGACTACACGATTTTATATTTGGTCTTTTTTTATACCTAGGTAGGTATGTCATTTTAATGAAGGTACGTCCAGTTTTTATAACACTTTAAAAAATCTCATAAATCTCATTTATTTTCTGTAAGTACGTTCTCAAAGAGCACTTTTACGCGTCCTAACCATACTGCTACGGGACAAAATACCAGTGCTGAGAAGCAGCGCAAGAAACTTGTTTACTTTTCATTGCAAACAAGAGTAGTTTTCATCAAAGAATGTTAGGTTAGGTTATTTTTTCATTTACTCGTACCTACACTACACAATGTTCTATTAGCGCGTGCAATTATTGTAAGACACCCCAGTAAGGTCAGGTCAATGTAAATTTACATGGAGTAAAAATTTCACATGACAAATCTTCGCCGATAGAATATTGAAAATTGAATAAAATATTTTGAAATCGTGAAAATCCGAACAAAATGTATTCCTGAATCCGCTCGTGTATCGTTCCTAGTGCATGAAAATATCACTTTACCTGCAGAACGGAATAGCTATGAGCACGTTTGCCATTCCTTTGCATGTTCCTAGCTGGTTTAGGCATCAGCCCGTATGGCAGTGACGAATGTGTAATGTATGAGCTCCTGTTTGCTGCACAACCACCAAATAATTCTATTTGAGGCTGGGGATTGTTTTGGAGATAAATTTGGATGTCTTAACAATGCAATTAGATGATCGTTTACCTACATTATGAAGTTAAAATATCTTTCTTTGGAAAATTTGGACTATGTTCCCAATCCACGATCTGCGAGAATAGACTTTGATACTCGTTTACAACAAAAAAGGCTTCGATATGTCTTTATTAAATTCGAAAAACGTATAATATCCGAATACAAAGGCAAAAATAATATGATTATAAAGATAAAGTCAGTTTGACCTATGTTTACTAACTGCCTTGCAAAATTGACAAATTATTTACAGTATTTTAAATCAGACATTTTTAATCAGGTTACCAAGCGTTAAAGAAGTTCTTTCACCACTTACTATAGGTAGATACCATTTAGAACTTAAGAGTATGAACTACACTAATTGATTCAAATAACAAGACCCAGTAATAATTCAAACTTTGTAGCAATAAGCAAAAACGAGAATAATTACATTCCACGTCCGCACGGGGTTTCAATTCGCTGACGTGGGTCGGGAAGTTTTTGTGTCACATTCAAACTCCGCATATGCTGCGACCAATTAAGTGATTAAAACACGTTGCTTCTCTCAGGAGAGTCCAGACTTCTCTCTCTCTCTCTCTCTCTCTCTTTCTCTCTCTTGAATTTATTGGTAGACGTATCAGAAGTACAGTTAATTTCTGTCTTCAGATAGAAGCGCAGTTTGCGATATTTTTTGTATTCTCAAGATGCATTCAGACCAACGATATCAAGAATGTTTTTCGTTAACGTTACGATGTTTTTAAATGAAGCGAACAGTAACCGACGTTGCGTTTATTTACATAAAAAATAATAACCATTATCTAATGTATAGCAATATCGCGGATAGATTTAGTTTCAGATGTTACAACTAAAACTCTTTGAAAATTGTAATACTTAATTATAATAATGGATTTTGGCTAAGGCTAAAATTTCATAATAATAAAGATGGATCAGAAACACGACCAGTGTAAAATTTAACGCAGACAAACTAATTGGTAGTCAATTTAAGAGATACGATCCAATTAAGGTCTCAAAGTGGCAAGAGAGGGGCCTGTGGCATGGACACCTTTCTCAAAATAGGGATATAATTTATTAGATATTATTTTACTAATAGCAAGTTTAAAATTAAATGACTAGAAATGTATTACCTCAAAGTGCTCGTAGGGCTACACTTAAGGTTTTTCTTTTCTTTAAAAGCTGGCTGATGAATAACTTGTTCGTAACTAACTTCTAGTTTCAATACAATAAAGTTAATGAAGCTTAAAATCTATACAAAATATCGCGACAAAACTATTTTAAGACCACACGGGTAGCGTAAAAAAATATTGGCTTCACGTGCTTTCCGCGAATATTTAGCCGACCTTAGATTTCGGCGGTGATAAAAATACTTTTACGATCGAAACGTTCCCGCTTTGCGACTATCTGTCACGTATCAAAAACTTTATCGCTGCCCTTAGACTCTATCGTTGGGTGTAGTGTACACAGGTCACAAATAAACAAGGTTCATGAGTGATTGAAGACTCTTCCCATAACTATAGTAAGAGGCAAAAGAGGGAGCAATATGCGAAAATCCTTCCTAAACCGTGGCAAGCGTGCGACAAAACTTCCATTGCCTTCTGGTAAGTGTGGTAATACTTCTGGAGAGTCGTGTCATCATCATCATCATCATATCAGCCATAGGACGTCCACTGCTGAACATAGGCCCCTAAAGATTTCCATATTGGCTGGTTGGTAGGTAGCGGCCTGCGTCCAGCGCCTTTAATAGGTAACCAGTTCCAATAACAGGTAACCTCAAAAAAAAACTTCACTATTGGAGTACACATGTGATCCAGTTGTTGTTCCGGGCTAGCCTGGAAACATATTCCAATCTCCACATCAATTTAAAAGTTCAAGTAATATTTCATTGTTTTTCACGCGTCGTGAGCACTCCCCCCAAATCTAGAATCAAAATAATGCAAACCGTACACGTGAGCAAAACCTGGAATTATTTCAATAGACGCTACAACTCTCTGTAATACCAAATTTATACAGTAGCAGAGATTACGTGACATGATTTAAGAAATGGAAAAGCAAAACGCTTGGTGCGCATTCATGGCGGGTATTATCCTTACCTTTCTTCGCGCCTTCGTTGAGAGTTTAATAAATTATTGAACAAAACAGTCTTTTAAAAATTGAGTAAAATATTTGGTTTTGCTGAGTGCTTGGAGGATATTAGAATTGGAATTTGTATTGGAAAAAGCCTGCTCAGGGCGGAGCATTGTGTAATAATTTATGTGCAGAATTAGACCTATTGTGTTTGATGTAATCGAAATAAAGAAAGAAAGAAATATGTATTACAATGGTAGGTGTGAAATGTTATTTAACACTAACATCTATCACTTGTTGTACAGCACGCTACGGTGGTTGACGATGGAATGTCCCACTGATCTACACTATACTACAGGAGGTATTAACTGTGAAACTATATTTTAAAGAGCTTCAACTTCCTTTTAATAGCCCAGCACAACCAGCAACTTTCCGCGAACGTATCGTGGGGGTGGGCCCACGTGTACAAAGTTTTCTGGCTTTAAATAGTCTACTGCCCACTCGAATACTCTGGTAAAAATGTTATTCTTAACAACATTTGGAATTAAATATCAGATTCAAAACTGAAAGAAAAAACTCTTACCTTTTTTTTGGAAGCAAAACAAACGAAGCACTCAAAGGCTAGTAAGAGATAAAGTCTAAAAATTGAAATCAACTTTAGAGAAGCACTGTATTCCTTTTTTTAAATTGCAAAGTGAAGATTAAATAAGTTAAGCTGCTGAAATACTTTCATGTTTAGTCAAAGGAATTAAAAATGTTGCAGAAGTCTGAAATTAGCTGTGAGCTACAGCATCAAAACAGTCAACCTAAATCTACTTAACTTTTTGTAAGGAACATTGTAAAATGTAGAAAGTAAAATAACGGAACAATAGTGAGAGGCTTACTCGCGTTCTAAGTGACTTTACTTATTTTCCTGAAATAAAAACTCAATATCAACGAATTGGCTTGTTAAATTTGTATAAAAATGAAGTAAAAAGTGAAATAAGCAAAAAATCCTTTATAAACATGGATTATGTATACAATAAACAACTCGTACAGACGTCGTACTATCATAATTTACTATTTATTTTCACAAAGCCTTCCTATAGAAATACACCACCCAGACCGACATGTAACACGTTATGAAGTACGAACCGATCAGCGCTAGATCAGTGAAGAAAACTGGCAGTGGTTTCGTTGCGTATCCTAGTATCACCACCAGCCTTGCTATGCTGTAGAGCCTGAACAACGTGACGCCTAGACTTGTGGGGGGGTTGGTGGTCACGTATAGAGCTCCAACTATCCAGAATGGGGCTAGGTTCTTGAGTTCTGATAGGTAGGCTCGCCGCACGATGTCTGGGTTGTCGAATATGCCCTTGTTCACCCACGTCATGGCGGCTAATGGACTGAGAGCCAGCAGCTTTATAGCGAGCAACGCCGCGTGCACCATGTAAGTCTGCGTGAGGGGGTTGTCCAAGCCGATCGTTATCTGCATCGAAGAGAGCGCTAAGCGCGGTTTTCTAGGTTGTTATTGANACGAAGTTACATTACTGAATTTGTTGTTGTTATTGACAGTTCTTCTTCTTCTTCTTCTTTTATTACATTTCTCATTGCGATACTGTCATGTCCACAGATGACAGTTATGTCATGTTTGAACGCTGCGTTTCATTTCATCAACTCAGGATACTTTAGGTTAAAATTATTAAAAATTCTAATAAGCGTATTGTCTTTCTTAGCGTTATCAGAAGAAAAAAGAAGCTATAATCTTGCAACAAACCAATTTAACTACTTCTTATTGTATAATAGTAGAATTTTTTAATCACTTTTCAAATTATTTATTATTCTCCTCACTTCCCTCTTTATTATAATGGTATAAAAAAATTAGGACAATATTAAGTTGCTAAGACAAAATAACCTGGTGTAACAAACTTTACTTCAAAGAAACAATTCCAGCCCATAGTTATGAACCGTTCAGATTTTTACCTAAGTCACGAATTACCTTTATCCTTATTTGTAGCATACACAAACTTCTGAAGTCCTTTCCCCTTGAATGAATTTCTGGCGGAAAATCAACAAGTACCAAAAACTTCAAAGACGAATTTAGATGCAAACAAAACACCGTGAAATCTCAAAGTTACTTTTATATTGACTCAGCGTAAAAAGGTTAAGTAAACACAAAGTTGGAGACATTTTATGTTAAGCCTCTGCCCGGTCAAAGTTGGAATTAATAACTTTCTTTGATTTTAAATGTTGCTCATCTCGGATCTCTTCTTCACGGCGATTGGTTCGGGGGTAATCTCAGAAAGTCAAGCTTACAAAACAATCGCTGATCTGTTTTAATCCTTTACAAAGCAGCTCTGTATGTATAGACCACGCAACCGCCCATGTAGCTGGTGATAGCGAAAGACACGAAGAACGCCATTTCTACAGCCATTTTAGGTAACCTCTTCACATACCCCAAGGCAGCTACGAATCTTGCAAGGACGAATACACGAAGGAGTATGATTGCTGTTACGTGATCTGGTGAAGTCGTCATGTATAGCGCAGCGACGAGCCAGAAAGGCGTGAGGTTCTTCAAGTCGCTTAGATTCGCGCGTTGAATTTTCTCTGGATTGCACACCAGCGAGGCCAATGGAGCCAGGGCCAGGAGTTTCAAGGCCAAAATGGCAGAGTACAGAAAATAACTTTGCATTAGATCTGTACATGGCAGGGCACATGACATTTTCGACATTTGAAATGCTTTTTGCCTCAGAACAATAAATTGTTCTGAGTTTTCGTGGATTATTTCACTGACAATTTGGCGGTGTATGTCATTCTGATTGACGGCTAGAGAGTAAAGAGATCTATGACTCATCGTTAATCTATGAGATATTTTCATCAAAAAAGTTTGATTGCTTTGAATTCCTGTATGAAAAGACTCTCTGACTCTACTGTGGTAAACAAATACCTGCTGTATTAACTCTAAAGGTTTTTCTTCAAATGGTAAAATGAAACCATTCTTACATTATTTCCTTCGATTTGCCTTTAGTGCAAATAAATTGCAGCATTCTATTCAAATAGTGATCGTGCACATTTTTCTAAAATGAGAATCCCTACAATTTATCGGGAATGTCGACACAAAGGACCTAGAGAATATGGCGAAAGCCGAACTCCACCTCAATAAAGTAAGTCGGTGAAAATACAAATTGTAAATTGAGGAAAATCAGTATTACAGATATTATTTTTGCAAGTTGATTCGAGACAAAGGCAATCAGACTGTTTCTACAAAGGGTTGGAGTAAAGCAAGGAATACAAATGCCCTGTTAAAAATAATGGCGAAAGCTCTTTTTAGATTGCCCGAAGTGTAAATATAGGGCAATTGAAATTTTTATATTAAAAACGAAAAACCTGATAGCATAGTTAATCAGTTGGAAAAGGTTGTAAAGTTCTAAAAAGTCTTTAAAAACCCAGAAATATTATATTTTATTAAGACTCAGCCTTTATAACAAGAATATAAAATACATTTAATATTATAAGTTATAACAGTTTTAACTGTTACTGTAACAGTTTAACCTAAATACCTAAGAGCGTAAATATTTCAGCATCCTACAGACTTGGGGACTTTCATGTTATTAAAACTCTCAGTAATTTGGGAAATGGACGGACCATTTTCGAAATACGACTCCACATTAAAAATCACATAAAATGCGACTCTTGTGTCTATTAATTTTTATGCTGATTATGATATTTTATGCTGATATTCAGTGCTAAAAGCGTTCTCTGAAAACAATTAAATACCTATTTTGAACGTATTTCATTTCAAGTTTTAAAAGCATAAGCATTATTTTGTAATCTCCATATTAACATATCGACATAACAGCCCAATTAATTTGCTCATTACATTGTAGCTAGTTGTGGCAGATTAAGGGAATTAATTCTAAAAGAACAAATATCGCTTCTACTGAAAATTCCTATTGGCCAATATGATTATGACAAATACTAAAAAAGTTTTTACTTAACAAAAAAATCATTGACTTCTCAATTTATTCAAATAAAACACGAGAATGTAGCTACAAATAGATGAAAATAGCCAGACTCTATTTAAGTTTTTATTCAGCCTTATTAAGTTACTTCTGTTCTCTGTCTAATCTTGGGCGGTAATGCACTGAAACCAAAACTGCGGCTTAAAACAGGTTCTAACCGAAACCGACAGTTCTTTACACTTACCTATATAGAATACATTAACCTTCAACACTAGTAAAGCGTCCCGTGATCGGCCGCCTAAATTATGTGCGTCCCAGCGATAATGCCTTTCGGCTTCTTTATTGACGCCATCAATTCGTCCCCGTCAATCCTATGTCTGCGTATTTTTCTCATAACTCACCTTTGTAATAACACGTGGATAAACTGGTGGTAGGGACACCTTTTTCCAAAATTCCTTCGAAATTAGTAAGTAAGTATTTTATACTCGTATAGTGATTTCCTTAAGTTTTTCGTTATTACGAAGCAACTGACTAGTTGAATCGTAAACGCTGTGTAAGCTGCGTTATACATTCGACAGTACATTAGTCTATACGAGTACCTACATTTTAGTTGCAAAATACTAACTGCACAAAGTCTAAATCTGTACAAAGTCGCTGGTTATTAAGTTTGCTTTCCGAAAAACAATCACTTGCAAAGTTAAAGTCAAAGTCAAAATTTCTTTATTGAATGGTGCTTACAAATCGTCAGATATTTTGCTCTTAAGGAGCCTCTACATGTCTCGAAGTTATGTATAGACGTCACTTAAGTAAGTAGTACCAAGTACTTAACTAACAGCGTTATTGATTAAGTATAGAAATACAAGCATACTTAATACTTAATCAGACTACAAGTTAATACTACTAGTACTAGTATTTCCGTATAACCAAACATGTTTAAGTGCAATAGATACGTATGCCTGTGCTATCTTGAATCAAATCGAGGCCGAGTTTACTCAATTCGTTAGCTATTCATGAGTTTGATTCGAAGCACAAATATGTTGGAATATTACGGAGAGACCTTAGTCACAGTATAGATCAAGTTCCGTAAGTCTCTTTCTTTTACAGAAAATAGTTATACGGAACAAAGCTGCTACTGCTAGGACAAATAAATTTAAAAAAGAGTCTAATTTTGAAAATTTTATCGGTTACTAAAAATAATTTCAAACCACATGCTACGTCATAGCATTAAAAATCAGTATTTATTAACAACATATTATCAGTCTCATACATTTATGGTAGTGTCAGCTTGTTAACTAAATCCTTTATGACACATAAAGCGACACATCTACTCTCTTCACTCGCTCGCAAACAATCTAATCCTTTCAACACAGCCTATCATATTTTATAAACTAAGATTAGAATCTCCTGAACATTTTTATGTTATGCCCCAATATTGCTGTAGGGTAAACGGAGTCAGCAGTTCAAAACGATACTGGTTCATAATGAAAAAGACAATTTTGGCAACACCTCTCTCGTGTAAATGCAGGCAAGAAAAAGAAAATAGAACAAGAATTCCGTTATTAGGTATACAATGCCAATATATACAGCCAAATATATACAATAAAAGAAAGGTGCGAAATAAGAACTAGCATTCGTAACCTGGGGATATTTTTGCCCAAATAACCAAAGCTAGACTAAATAAATACAATTACAACAATAAAAAGTATTTTTTCATAACAATTTACGGACGACAGCACATCAAGATAAACAATCTGGGGTCTTATGCAGTTGTATTAGAAGTTTATTTGCAATGAAAATGTATAGTCTGATGTCTGATGTGCTGGCTGTCGTCTGTGCTTACCCTACTAATATTATAAATGCGAAAGTTTGGATGTCTGGATGTTTGTTACTCTTTCAGGCAAAAACTATTGAACTGATTTTGACGAAAATTTGCAGTATTATTGTTTATAACCCAGAATATTTTATAGGCTATAATTTATGACGATCTGTGACAAACTAAATTTCACGCGGGTGAAGCCGCGGGCAAAAGCTAGTAACATTACAAATGTGACAGTAAAGCTCTCTCTTTAGGTCCCGAAGTATGTAACGTTAGATACATTTTATTATGAATAGAGATAGTCTAAAAGAAGAAGTGGACAAAACCACTATTTCCTATGTTAGTTAATGAAAGGAAGCGTTCTATTTTATGTACAATGTACAATATAAAATCGCGTTCCTGTTTCCTAAAAATAAACTTCCACAAGATATGATAGGCCGACTGACTTCAACAATAACTGTTTCAAGAGTGAGATACGAAGCAAGTTGGAATTCATCAAGTTTATTTTAAGAGTTGCCAAGTCTCGGTTTGTTTAGCGACGTTTGATCGACATTTACACTCCAAATCCAGTCAGAAATGTTGTGCTACAACATACAATATGATAACTGAAGATAATTTCAGTTTAGTCTCAGTGACGTCACATAATTCACAACTCTACCTCTAATTCAGCAATAAAGAACACTGCTTCAAGCTTCTACATTTAACATGCATTTACTCTCAGCAAATCTGCTACGACCCATGTACCCTATACACATACAAGTTCGAAGTGACGTCATGTACGAGGACGTCATGTATGTGGTTGATCTAGAGTTGGAGTCCGAATTGCAAATTACTACGATTATCTGAGCCGATACTCGATTGTGATCAACTAGCATTTCCATTGATGAGCTAGGATGTGATGTGTGATTGAAATATATTTCATAATACTAGCGGCTGCCGCGACTTCGTACGCGTGAACCTCGTTTTACCCTTTAGGGGTGGAGTATCGTGAAATTCTTTCTTAGCGGATGCCTACGTCATAACATCTACCTGCATGCCAAATTTCAGCCCGATCCGTCCAGTGGTTTGGGCTGTGCGTTGATAGATCACTATGTCAGTCAGTCAGTCAGTCAGTCACCTTTGAGAGATTATAGCATATTAAATATCTGAAAAATATAATGCAAAATAATGTCAATGTGAACAACAAAAGCCTCCTGTAATAGAAATTGCGAGAAAATTACTAATTAATTGCATTAATCAAAATAAAACGCCAAAATATTAAATATCTTCGATGTTTCCTTAAATGAAATATCTTCAATATTTCTTATTTACCTATTAAATAATGTTATCCTATTGCTGTATTTGACAATTATTAAGTTCTGAATCGTTTATTTACAGACTAGAGGGGCATTTTGTTTGAAGTAACTAATTGAACGGCAATTAGTTTGGGCAAAGTTTGTACAAGGGTTTTTGAATTTGTACGAAATGTTCTCGGTATTTAACGACTGAAATGTAATACGTAACTATTGTATTACCATGTTTGGGAAACTTGCGAACTTTGAGATCATAATGACGTAATACGTACGTTCACACATTCATATGAAGGTTTTAAATTCTATTGGGGGCTTTAAAATAAAAAAAATAGCATCTTGAGTAAGTATACAATTTAACTATTATTTTTACTATATGTATTAGCTATAATCAGATTATTCTACAAAATTTCGTGCTGGAAAAACCTTAGGAAAAACAAATCATAAAAAATTAAAAATAGCGTCTATTTTGGCTTCAAACAGCGAGGTTTAATCTAACTGCACTATACCTGAGAGACGTGATCTGGTACAGGCAATCACTGTTTAAATTGAATATTTAAAAGGAAAGCTCAGTTTTTAGTTATCCTGGGATAATGAGTTCATGACCCTAACATTAGTTTAGAGTAGCCTTTAAAAATACGGTTTCATATAGAGCAATGTGTGTTATACAATAACCATTATCAAGGATTTAGTAATTAACCCTTTCACACAGTCTAATAATA